TGATACTGGCGCTATTTTCAAGTTTTAAAGATCTCAAAACTTGAAAATTAAAATCCCCTGTGAGCAAAGTAAACTTGATGAAATATCTGGTGCCCAAAGTAACATTTTCTAAAAGAGGAAATGATAACAGAAGTTTGTAAAATTCAATTTCTATACGCGATAAACGCATACTCAAATTTCAAAGCTCACCCTTAAATTTCTTAAAGCTTTGCACTCAAAGACACCCTTTGGCAATGCTAATGAATCGTGTGTGCCAATAAAAATAAAATTTTCCAAGCAATCGTACCATTTAGTGAGTGAAAGTTTCATCTTTTAAAGTAAGATTCCCTAAAATTAATGTCTTGAGATTTCTAACGCCCATAATACAACTGGTACCATATGAATGTAAAAATGAGTTACGAATTTCGATATGAGAAACTTTATGAAAAATTCCTTGTAATATATTCTCAGAAATGGCAAGAGAATATGATTAGAAATGAAAATCTGATACGCTGACTTTTTCTAAACTATCAAATTTTACAAAAAATTCAATAAAATGAACGCGAGGATTCCTCGCACAAGCAATGCTTAATGCTCTTGTATTTTTATAAAAATTTTGCATCTCTACTAAGTCTGTTCAAATATTCGAATATTTTTCTGTTTTTGTCAATCGAATACTTTTTTACTGATGGAATTTCCAAGAGTTTTCAGAAGACTACATTGACTTCATCCTCCGATCCGCTTTTAATTTCTAATCCCTCGAAATTTATATTTTTCTAGACAGCTGATAGCTTTGCAATATTATTATACGTTTCCATCGGTTTGGAATCCGAACCCCGCCTCATTTTGCGATCTAATATAAATGGGAGATATATGCTTATACTGGAAATAATTATTGCTTCTCCGATATTAATATAGTTAATTCGGAAATATCACCTTCTTCTTTTGGATTACAAAATTCATACAAAAAATGAAAAATAATTTTATTTTATTTAATGATCATATTGAAAATTTGTCGAATTATGAAATAGATAAGATCGTTGATCAGGATAGGACGAATAATTGTTGTAATGAGCAGGAGAAGAGGTAGACATTCTATTATACTGATTTAACGTATATACTACAGCTGAATATTAACCCTTTACCTCCGAATGTCTATCCCACTGGACATTGATAACATCGATACACAAAAATAACGGAGCGTCATACCAGAACCGAATTTTATTCCAATCTAAGAGACTTCATAAGTTCTCGACTAGTAAAAAAAGAAATTTTTTCCTATGGATCTAGACTGAGATAATTAACTTTTGAAATTAAAGAATTTTAAATTTTCTAATTTTTTTAAAAACTTTTTCCATAGATTGAGTCATAGAAGGGTTTTCAGATGTGCTGGTTGATAACTATTGCTATAAGGATCTATTCTATAACTACACAAGAAAATAAATTTTCTATCAAGTTGCCTTGGTGCACCGTGTCCGGTAATGAAACGTCCACCGGGGTGGACACCAGGGGGGGAAGTGAGATGAAAAGTATTGATTTTTTCGTTTTATATTTTTTGTAAACTACCAGTAATTCAAAGTTTAAGCACTTTTTGTTTTTCGCTTAAAGGCACATCATTAGATGTAGTTTTATCTGGTGATCACGAATCTGACCTTATTTTTTCCATTTGGGCGACTTTTCCCGGAGAAAAACACAAAATACTGCGAACTCCTCCAAAACTGACTTTTGAGAAAATCGGTCTAATCTTCTCACAAGTTTACTCTCCAATCTCACCAATGTGGTTTTCGGATTCCTCGACTCAAACTGAGTCTAGACATGTGGTCTAGATCTCATATCGCGCATATCGTATAGGCTGGGAAATTTAAAAATCGTTGATCCTCTGTTGGTGCGACCTAATTTTGCAACCCTATCTAGTTTTTTTCTCTAAAAGATACCTAAAACCTTTCTTAATCAGGCTTAATTGTGGCCCGCACATTTCTGATTAAAATGAGACGTCTCTCAGTTCTACACGACCCTTCTTTGCAAAGTTAGAGAATTTGCAAGAAAAGTCCTAAATATTCATTGTCACCTCAAAGCTACAGAAATAAGACGAAATTAATTTACTTCTCTAGACCACATGTCTAGACTCCGTCTGAGTCGAGGAATCCGAAAATCACATTGGTGAGATTGGAGAGTAAACTTGTGAGAAGATTAACCGATTTTCTCAAAAGTCAGTTTTGGGCGTTTTGGAGGAGTTCGCAGTATTTATGAAAGCAATATGGAAAAAGTTTTTAAAAAAATTAGAAAATTTGAAATTCTTTAATTTCAAAAGTTAATTATCTCAGTCTAGATCCATAGGAAAAAATTTCTTTTTTTACTAGTCGAGAACTTATGAAGTCTCTTAGATTGGAATAAAATTCGGTTCTGGTATGACGCTCCGTTATTTTTGTATATCGATGTTATCAATGTCCAGTGGGATGGACATTCGGAGGTAAAGGGTTAATATTCAGCTGTAGTATATACGTTAAATCAGTATAATACAATGTCTACCCCTTCTTCTGCTCATTACAACAATTATCAAGAAAAAATCAATACTTTTCATCTCACTCCCCCCCTAATGTCCACTCCGGTGGACATTCTATATTCTGTCACCCGAGCAACTTCATTTTATTTTAACTGGACATAGTGAGCACTCAAGAGCTCCACTTCAGTAGTCGTCTTTCATGGATCTTCAAAAAAATACCTTCCGGAGGTAAAGGGTTAATGATAATATTATGCAGGAAAGGTTCTTTGTGGTGGACAACTTGAAACATCGGGTTATATTAGGTGACGAATTTCTGCTGCAAACCAAGGCAGAATACAGCTACCACTATACGACAATTCGCATAGGTGGTGAGAATCTCGCATTGGTGAGTAGTGCTAGCATGATAGAATTAGAAGAGAATGTGAGCATTATGCCCGGAGAAATTTGTTCACTGAAAGTCATAGCTCACCAGGCAGGGATTTTGGGGTGCACGAACGATAAGCTGCAAACGTTCCGCTCTCTGTTAGTAGAGTCTTTCCAACCTTTGATCTACCGAAGAATTTTCTCTATTATTTCCTTTACTGCCTTCTTCTAAACTCTACAGGTCTCGTGTTGTATTCAGATCAAATGTCTCTAGCGTAGTTCCATATCTCTGCAATGATCTCTCTGTCTAATCTCTGTGCAATTACACCTATCCAGTTGTATAATATCAGCTTTCTCCAGTCAAAAACAGCTTACTTACAAATCAAATACTTCAGAAATTTAAAACGCTAATCATAATAATCCATTTGACTTTATAAAACATGCAAACGAAGAAAGGCCATATAAACGTACTTTCTACGGAACCGCAAAAAGGCTCAGAACAGAAATATGAAAATTTTATTTTTACAGGTAAGGTTTCAAAATCGTTGATCAAAAATGAAAAAAGAATCGCATGCTAACGTTTGCCACTTCATCGTTTAATCTGAATCGCTTTTGAATGAAATATGAGTTGTTATTTATGCTCTTTATAGTCTTAGACCACTTATATTTGCTTACTAGATCTTTTCACTCTCATTTGGAAACAAACAGTGCTCCAAGATTCATATAGGACGGATCATCTGTTGTTTCCGTTCATTTCCGGGCTTAACAAATATCAATGTGCAGTAATCATTCACTTTCCACAAAAAAGCTTTCTATACGGAAACGATGAAAAGATGGAGCTCGTGAACTTGCGTAATTCGTTCAGAATGTCATAGAAATGAGATTTTTAGAGTAAACAAGATATGAATAGCAGAGAAAGAAAAAAGAAACACATAGATTGTTTCTCTTGATCGTATATTGTACAATATAACAATGAATAAACGCACACGAGTCATTCAAACTAGAATGGACTAAAGACAAACAAGGAATTGCAAAAATTTCGGTATATAACACAAAATTTTTTTCTTTCATCCAATAACGCAAGTCACACATCAGAGATTTCAAATTTGTTTTCTAAACCACTGATAAGTCTTTACTATACCATCCCGCAATGTGACATTGTACAAGAAAAGTTTTATGATTAAACAGTCCGGAACATTTCTAGCAACCAGGCTCTAAGTCTATTGAAAACATCATACAGCACGAGTAGTAGAAAAGATAAAAAGAGAAGAATTGAAGAACTTATATAAAAATATAGGACTGGTTTTAATTCGTCGCTAATTAACCTCGAGTATGAGAGGAATTGATTTTATCTAACGATGAAAATGTAACCGTGACCTTCACTATGGGTTTTTCAGCCGTATGTCATTTTCTTGCAATAAATAAATTATATAGGTCATTTTGTCTACTCAGTTTGATAGAAAATTTGACGCAATTATATCCGAATAACTTATAAGATGCAATTTTTATTTTCTTCTCAAGTAAAAAACAGAATCAACAGAGGTTCTCCTGAATTGATCATCCAAGACAATTTCTTTCTGCAGAACCTGTAGATAGACGGGTGACCAAGGGCTGTCTGTCAACTGTTTATCATATGAGATTTTCAAAGAAAAGAGTGTTCGATAATCTCTGTGGTAATTATGTTGCTAGCCAAACATACGTCCGATTGTATCACCGACAACAAAAAAATTTTCTTGAGTCAAGAAAAAGTCCATATCGTCGACACCCTTTTCTGTTTGCTTATCTATTCGTAAAGAGAAATATAGTTAGGCGTGTAACCCTCTTTCACAAAGAAGTTGTCGACATTTATTTTCACAATAGATTACGTAGAATATATATGTTCATTCATTCTGCAAAATAAGCATGCCTTTCATTTTTATTTTCATTTGAAAACAAGCTGGTGATGAACAGTGCAACAGATTGTTTTTTGATAATTGATCACAACTACACAAAAAAAAAGAGCGTTCATCATTGTTATTATAACTGCGTTAAAGGAGTCCAATATCCTTCATTTTCATGCTATTCCATTTCGAATTTTGACTTACGTTAACTATCTTAAAACATGGAAAATAATTTCATTAAATATGAATGTGATCCAATTAAACTACAAATGATAATGAATAGAACTACTGGAAACGATAATAACGAAGAACCGACGATTAAAGAAGAACCAAGTAAGTCCTTGGTTAGAAGATGCAGATACACAATGGGTTCCGTCTCTATGAGCTAATCTACATTTCAAATGACGATATATCCGTATTGATCTAAAGAAATACTATAAGTTTCATTCAGTGATTTCAGACTGTGCAACTAACTTAGCACTGGCAAGTGCTAAGTCACGTTGTTCTATACCACGTTATTTTTAGCCAAACTTTCAATAGCAAGCGTATTCTGAGCGTTTCATTCAGTTCGCGTAATGATAAGAGTAACGTCATTTTTCTTCTCTTTTTATCTCTAGTATCAGAATCAGAATCTTTGATGTCGTCATCGGACAGTAAACCAAATATCATATATAAAAAACGCTCACGTATCCAGTACACGCAACAACAAGTGAGTGATCAAAGTTCAATAGATGAATAGCATCCATATAATACATATTTTGTTTTCTCCAGTTACATATTCTTGAGTCAACATTTCAACTTCATCATTATCCGACCGTTGATATTGTCGATAATTTAGCTGAAGGACTTAAACTACAAACACAAAAAATATCGGTATAGGCTAAGTATAGTCAAATGAATATTAGCTGTCTACAAATATAACTTATTTTTATAGGTGTGGTTTCAAAATCGTCGATCAAGAATGAAAAAAGAATCAAAACATGCTAAAATTTCTAATATCCAACATCAGGAATTAGTATGTTCGCCTTATTCACTCATCTATAATATCTCTCATAAAAAATTTTCTCGTTTCAAGAAAAGTCCAGCAGTTCGATCTCCTACATGTTTTTCACCATCATCATCTTCTCTTTCGCCCTTCATCGAACAAATGTATCAGAACACATGGAATAACTACAGGTAAACGGATAAAAGACTACAAAATTTATTTATTCATTTTTCTATTATATTTATAGGTATCCGATGTCGTCTTCATCAGGCTTTTCTCAGCCAATGTATACATTAAATCAGTATAATACAATGTCTTCGCCTTCTCCTGCTCATTACAACAATTATTCGTCACCTGCTAACTATCCTGATCAACCATCTTATCCATTTCATAATTCGACAAATTTTCAATATGATCATTAATTAAAATTAAATTATTTTTCCTTTTTTTGTATGAATTTTGTATACAATATTTTTTTGGCACATCTACATTAAAAAAGTTAAATTATTTTGAGTAGTTTTTTTGTTTTCTTGTCGTAATACTTGACATATGTTGACTGTATCTTAAAAATAAATTGTTTGAAAATATTTGTCTGAAAATCGCGAATGTAAAACTTCGAGTGTATTTCAGCGATCTGATACCGACTCTTGATTTCCAAAAAATGTTGATCATAATGACTTTTTTTTGGAAACTCCAAAACAATGGTGATTTTATGTAATTTTTCTCTCTTAGCCAGCGAGTACTCATTTCAAGGCTGGACCATGGCCCAACCTTTAGAAACTTCGTTTTATTCATTCCGAAGTAGTATTTTGATTGAAATCAAAAATATTACATAAACGTTTCTTACTATTACTACTCTAAAAAAAGGTTTGGCCCACCCCTTACTGTAATCCTAGATACGTCGCTGCCCTTAACAATGTTAAGGACAGCTTAAGCTCTGTCCAATGGCTTTTTGGATTATGAGAAAATTTTAAAATGCTTAGTTAAAATAAAATAGGGTCTTCCTAAACCTCCTAATATGAAAAAACCCGTTTTTGCTATCCGAATAACGCATGTTTCTTTTCAAAAGAAATAGTAATTTATATATAACTCGACGAGCTCTACAAAATGTGCACTAAGAAGATGTCGATTTTAGCTTTTGTATAGGACGAGCGGACCTGCGTGAAAGTACTCTGCTCAAGAAATAAAAAGTTTACAACGCGAGATAAACTATCGACCAACAACAATAATCAATTTTGAATACTTCTGCGTTTAAGAGGTTGCGGCCTGTCCTGGAAAAATCGAAGAATATCTTAATATCAAGAAGATCGTGTAAACGAAGTCGTTCTTGCCATGAAACACATTTCACATTTGATTATCATTAAGAACACTTCTCTTATGTCTGAGTTCGAAAATCATGTTTTTGTTAAAACTGTCCTTCCCAGGTCAAAAAATCTTATTAAGATCCTACAAGATCCTATAGGATCCTGTAATACATAGGATAAGACAGGATTCCTATGATAGGATCCTACCGATTCCTACGTGATCCTATCAGAGGATGTGATAGGATTCCTGTCGTAGAATCATATGATGTTTCCTATTAGGATCCTAGCATCAGAATCCTACCAGATCTTATGATAAGAATTTTGCTGAATCCTATGATTTCCTAGATAGGAATATGTAGGATTTTGTCAGATTCCGACAACAAATCTAGCAGTATTATATTTCGTAAAAAACTTGAAAATAATTTTGGACTGACGTTGTATTAAGCGTTCAGTTATAGAAAATCCTTCTTCGGATTAAAATCTCATCGTTTCAATTCAATTCTCATTGTCTTACTGTAAATATGCAGTTGTCGCTACCAGTTTTTAGAGCCAATGAGGTTAAAGTGAGTAGAAAGTCTCAATAAAGAAGAGGAGAACAACCCGGAAGGATGAGAAGCAAGAATGCGAAAGTAAATCAGATCACGATTTTTAGCTTTCTCCGACTTTTTGAATACCACTCTCTGCCTTGACCTGCCGGCGTTGTTCCTGTTCTACTGGTTTTTCTTTAAATGATTGTCTATTTAACTGCTCATTTAGGTTTTCGTCATTTTAGATAAAGTTTATTATATTATTATAATAAACTATTATTAGTTAAACTATTAAACTAATAAACTATTATTTTTGTTATTTTAAATATTCGAATGATCGATCATGATCCAACTTGCGACTTTAATATTGACGAAGAAATCGAACATGCACGTTTAAAAAACAAACAAAGATTAGAATATCGTAAGATTTACAAACAGCAGCGTCAACAACAATCAAACAACATTGGCGTTTTCCTAACAACTGACAGCAATAAATCTGATCAAGAAGAAGAGGTCAAGAACAAAGATGGTAATCGACAAAAAACAGTGACATCAACAAAGAAGCCTTTATTAGAACATCAATATTTGAATACATTGGATAATGATCTATTTTTAACTACAATGAATGACAATAATATTTATTATAAAACATCAGACGAAGCAGAAGAAAGTCAAACAGCTCAACATGAAAAAGAAGAAGAATACGATATTGATTTAGATTTTTTTATTACGGATTCATTTGATTCACATGGTAATTGCTAATCAGTTGTTTATTTTTCCTTTTTTAAATGCTTTTATGGATATGTAAGGGGATATAAAAGATCACTCTCGTTTTTTTTATTTTTAAGACTTTTCTAATGAGCGTAAAAAAATCTTTTACTCCAGTGCGAACAGAATAAAAGACTAACTGAGTATCTATCGGTTCATTATGAGATAGAAACCGAAAAAATATCAGAGAAAATTTGATTGATTTCTCTAAAAAGATGGAGTTTTGTCATTTTTTACAAATATTAGTAAGAGAATAGATTTAAAAACTTGGATACTTCTCACTCCAATTGCTTTTTTTTGACTAAAACCTTTTTTAGAAACCAACTTTTTTGTCCTAGGCAGGAAAACTTTATAATTTTCCGATTTTTGCTCAAAAATTGCGAAAATGTGTAGAACAATATGGAAATCTTTTTAAGAATAAATCAGCTGTACCGGTTAATTAATGAATCGACCGGCTCCTCACTCTGCATCCATTTTCTACATTATTAGTAAAGTGTGAATCTATTTACGCTTAAAAGTTTTCGGGTTTCTCATACACTTTCCTGGTTCTATAAAAGATAAGTAAGATATAAAATAGAGAATATTTTTGTTAAACTTCCTCCAAGTCTTCGAAGAAGACGGAGTTTCAGTTATATACTCAAAAACCGGTGTTATCATGGGTTTTTTGGATCCTATTTAAAATCTGATATCACTTTCGGTCATAACCTCTTAAACTGGCGATCATAACCACTTACGTCGGTCACAACCTCTTACGTACCTGTTTGATATCGAATGATATCAGAGGAATGTTTTTTAGGCGGTCACAACCTCTTAATCGGTCACAATCTTTTAACGAGTCGTCGTTGCTCATTTTTCTTTACACCAATAACAGATAATTCCTTTTTTTAAAATAGAGGCGAAAATAGAAAATAAGATTTTTTTGATGAGATTTTAGTGTCCCGAAATAAAACACAATAGTAGCAACTCGTTTCTAAGCAATTTTTATTAACCGATCTTGATCAGTATAGGGAGTTTCACCTTTTGGTACCGAAGGTACTACCTTGACAGGGCTTTTTATCTTTTTTAGATTCGAGTGGTACTGAAGATGACCAAAAAGATCAACAAGATAATAACATTAATCACTCTGAATTAGATAAAAACAATAAACCATTACATTATTACACAAATCAAACAACGAATAATGTTTGTGTGCAATTGTTACAGCTAATACGTGACTCCCACGTTAGTAAACAGAAATCGCAACATTTTATGTCGTTTATTAATAAAATTTTACCACAACCAAATGAAATGCCACCTACAATAGAAAAATTATTACTAAAGCTGAATATAATAAATTATTTTTATAAAAGAACCGTGTGTATATTATGTAAAAAACAATTGATGGATACACAAAATAAATGTACATCATGTCCAACAGCTGAACCACATCACCTGGCTCACATTTATGATACCGACTTTCATGCATTGCTATCGTTAATTTTAAGACGGCTATCAAAGCAAATTAAAGCATATAAACAAGAAATATCAAAACCAAATCAAAATCATCAGAAGAATTATGATATTCCATTTGGCTCTATATATCAAGATTTATTACAACAACGTAAACATCAAAATCTGTTAAGTTTTATTATTCATATTGATGGTGTTGGTTTAGTTAAAAGTACAAAATTAAAAATGTGGTTATGCAGCGCATCTATCGTCGAACTACCGCCCAAAATTAGAACACGAAGGCATAATATGCCACTGTTATCAATATACATTGGCCATACTGATCCAGATCCAGAGTTGTGGCTTAGTCAATGTTTTACAATGCTAAAGCAAAGGAAAGAAGAAGGTGTGTTTATTAGAACTTTTAAAAAAGTTCCTTTAATTTAAACAAGCTTTGTTTAGAGCTATTATAAAAAGTTTAAATAAAAAAAAACACTTTTCTTAGAGCCATACTTGGAAACGATATGGCCCAAACCGATCGTTGGAATTTTTCAATCACCCGAATAGTTATTGGAATCTTAACGGTTAAAAATCCTAAATTTTTTAATTTTTCTCCGTGGTTTATTCAAGGGGAAACAGCTGATTTTGGGATTTTTCCGATTTTCACTGATTTCCAGCGATTTTTTCCGATTTCCTTTGATTTGTTTGGGAAATCAAGTAAAGAGACTGCGAATAAATAGCGCAGAACCTGCTTTATTTGTACAAAATAGGGATCAGACATAGTGAAAGTAAAGAAAAAAAGACATGCTCATTCTGGATTAACTGATATTTTTCCTTTTGTGTTGCTTGTAACTCTCACAAAATAAATCGATTTTACGCGAAACTTCCACTTTCATTTGTGAAAGTTACGCATGTGTTAAAAAGTCCGAATTCCTAAACACGCTTCACAAAAGTGCTGCTGGTGAAGGACAAAACCGGGCAGCGTTAAACTTGGAGTGAGGCTGGTAGCATCGACTTTTGATGCAGAAAGGTCCGATAAAAATATTCAGCTACCAAACTTGTGCGATGTTTTGGCTTTCTTCGCTACAGCAGGAAATCTACTAAGTGAATGGAGTGGAAATGTGAGACCAGAAAAGTAAAAGAGAGGTGTTTCACCAAAACACGCCCAAAATCTTTCCACTTTAGACTCCGGAAAAGCGGAGACTAAGTGATCTTTCGTGCGCTATTAGTCGAAAAACAATCATTAAAAACAGGCGTTTCAAAGTTCCTATGTGCACAAGATCTAATACAGAATTTGTGCTGAGTTTTCAAACTTTTAGCGGTCAAAAATGATCTGAACGAAAGTTTTTCGAAATTCGAAATTCGAAAGTACTTTTAAATGATTTTAAAGGATTTTCAGGGATTTTTAGAGATTTCTAGAAGATTTCCAGGTTTTGGAGAGATTTTAAGGGATTTCAACGGATTTTTAGGGATTTTCAGATTTCAAGAGATTTTGCATGTCCAAAATCAGTTGTTTCCCCCTTGGGTTTATTTCACAAAAAAGTGAAATATACATTTCTTTAAAATGCCATTAATGACCGTGTAAGAAGTTGCTCTTTTCTTTCTCATTATTCTTTTTACAGTTTTATTTCCTCTGTTTTAGCTTTTCAAGTTCATCTACACAATCAATCAACGTTAACATTTAACATCATTATTTACGGGGTAATAGGAGATTGTCCTGCACTGAAAATTATATTGAATATGGTAGCGCACATTGGCTATTTTTGTTGCTTTTATTGTAAATTAAGAGGAATTCATAACAAAGATGCACACAAACGTCAATATCCTTACCAAGAGCCAACAGTTCAACGAACAACTCAGTCATTTGCTGCTGATTCAAAATTAGCTAAAGAAACTAGAAGGAATATTTATGGCCATCTTGGTACAACTATACTAGAAAATATTATTGATATACCATTGCCAGATTCAATATTATGCGATTATGCTCATGTGACTTTATTGCGCCATTTTCGTGATGTAGTTAAAATAATATCAGAATCGTTATCACCAACAATTCGTAAAACAATCGATCGTAATTTACGTGCTCAACATTTTCCCCATTTTTTTAATAGAAAAATGCGTGGCGTTGAAAACTTTTCCCATATTAAAGCATCAGAATTAAAACATTTGTTGTTATACGGATTCATACCACATTTTTTTGGTTTCTTAACAACTGATCAATCTGCATTTATTAGTTTATTGATTTGTGGGATACGACTGTTACATTTTGGGAAAGTATATGGTCCAGATACAAGTCAAATAGCACATAATTTATTATTAATATATTATTCACAACATTCCATATATTTTAAACATCAAATCAATTTTGTACTGCATCTACATGCTCATTACTCTCAAATTTATGATCGTCACGGTTCTCTATCATCTATCAACACTTTCGCTCAAAAAGACCTCGTCGGATATGTATCAAAAAACAGAAACGGATCAAGATATTTTGGTGATTTGATCACTCATTACTATAATATAGATGTTTTCTTAAAAAGTTCTGTTGAAGATCAGTCGATTAAACATGATGGTAAGCCGTTTTTATCGCTCTGGTTTATTTCTTATCACTGTTATTCTTTCTTTTTAGGACCATTTGATCAACTATTATCATATGCCAATGATCTTATGTACAACGAAATATTTCGGTATCATGAACAACATTGTAAATGTAATGATTTTAGTGAATGTGTTAGAGTTTATAAACGGTGTATTATCAATGAGCATGTTTTTCATTCATTATCTTATAAACAACGAAAAACAACAAATAGTTACTTTGTACAGTATTATCAACGCGGTAGTCGAGCTTTTCTATTTGGTGAAATTCTTATTTTTATTACAATACATAATCAACCATTTGCATTAGTTAAAATATTTGAAATTAGTTATTTATTTAGTGATTATTTTATAAATTGTAAATATTATAAATCAATTCGTACTCCTCTGGATGATTTTTATTTTGTTGTTAAACCAAAAAGTGTTAATATTTTTGTACCTATTGAACAAATTATTCAACATTGTATCGTTTTTGAAAATATTCTGGACAAGCAAACTGTTATTGTTACACCACTCTCTTCATACACCGAACATGACTGAATTTTTTTTGTTTTTCGTATTCTTTTTTTGTAGATGTAAATAAAGCTCTCAATCAATATTCAAACATTTTACTATTTTTCTTTACTTAGCTTTCTGTTATCTCGTATGAGCAGAGGCACAGCAACTGTGGGCGGGGGTATACGCGCTTTAAAAATTGTTGATGATATCTCTCCTCTATTTTGGTCAACACTATGGCAAATTTTTCCGCTGTTATGCTTATGCTCTGCGATTTTGAAGAAAGTTCTATTTTTTAGCCCACCGAATCTTCGTAAAAGTGGGAGATACAATGGTTAACTTTGCCTTAAACAGTTGAGCAGAAAAAAATATTTTTTTCACCGAGTTCTTCTTCGGGGAAAGTCTCTCATCTTTACTGAATAAACGTTTCTAATTGAGTTAGATAAAGATCAAATGGCTTCAAATCAACAAAATATTAATGGCAAACGTATTCGAAGGCAACAACAAAGATATACTCCTACTGAAACAACGACGACAACAACAACTCTAAGCCGTCAACCAAAACGTACGTCAGTTGTTTTTAGTGTCTATAAATTCTATATCATGATTATTCTACTCTGTTTTTAGGTTCAGTTGGTAGTACGGTAACGAAAAGAGGTAAAAAAGTAAATACGGGTATGCATTATAACTCGAATGTCCTGTATATAGTTTGAGCATTTCTTTTATCTATTGTTTTAGACCTGCATGTACTTAGAAGTGATTTGCCATCAACATCATCGGATTTATTGTATCATGGACAACAGCGTTCAATTATACCATCAAATAGTCGTATGTGTACATCTTTAATTTGTCCACAATGATCAACGAAATATGAGAGTTTTTTCCATAGTCGTTAGTAGGAGTGTAATTGTCATGGTCGCGTGATCGTGAAAAAAAGATTTTTTTATGACCTGGATCGTGACCGCAATTAGTAGAAAAATTTTTATGTGAAAACATTGTGATTGTGGTAGAAAAAAAGTCAGTGCTCATCTGTAGTCTCGGCTGCTTTTCTTTTTTCGATAAGAAAAGAGAATGCTTCGCTATTCTATACATTTTATAAAGAGCTCTATTTCCTAATCTCTGATCTGCTCTGTTCTTTGAAAAAAATTTGTATAGCTTCTTTGTTTTAGATCCATTTACTTCATACAAAAGAGCAAGTAAAACTACTAGTCAACAACGTAGCGGTGGTCGTGGCAGTTATTCAAGCATTAGTAATCGATCAGTTTTACGTGAATCAACAAATTTTGAGGATGATGATGAAGATGAAATTGATTATTATATTGATCATCGCAAACGAACACATTTATCTCAACAACAACAAAGTATCGATAATGGTGATGATTATGATGAACCTGAAGAAGAAGAAGATGAAGTGCGAAGTCGTATGGAAATCGAAAATTCATCAATAGCCGATCAACATTACAATCATTCAAAACAAGAAGAAGGAGATGATGAGAATGAAGGAGTTTTGGAAGATGATGTACGTTCAAGAGCAGGTGATTTTCCAGCTGCAAATGAACAACAAGAAAGAAGAGGTTAACTTTAACCACTGTTTAATATTTTTTCATTTATTTACTAAGCTTTATTTTTCTAGATAATCGGCGACGAAAAACAACAACAGCTGCCAACAATGATGAGACAAATCAAATTGAATTATTACGGAATGGTAAGAATCTTTTTGAATTATTGTATCAATATTTATTTTACTAACTTCTAGATATTGCAAGTGTATCAACGAAATTAAGTACCGAATTAAAACAACATATGCAAAATTTTGATAAAAAATTTATTCGATTATCGAAAGCATATGAAAAATTGGTATAATACACTTTTCTCTGATATACTAACTATGATGGTGTAAAAAATTTTTCTATGTTTCAGATGCCAAATCAATTGCAGCAATATCAAGGATCACCAACAGATACATTTCCAGCAATAGTAGTGAGTAGAAAAATTTGAAATCAAACATACAGACATCAACATACTGCTCTGTTTTTCTTCTATTGTAGGATTTCAATGGTGAAAATCTTTTAGACGAATATGCTAAAGATCCAAAACAATATGCAAGAATTTTGCTGAAAAAGTTATTTACAATCAATGAACTAGGAAATTCTGTATTATTACCAAATGATCGTTATAGCAGAAAAGCATTAGATTTGGATAAAATGAAAGTATTTAAAGGCAGGTGAAGAAATCTAAGGCTGGGCAACATCAACATCGGGGTTGCAGTTAACACTGAAGTTTAGAGTTTTTTTTTACCGAAGATGTAGTCAAGCTGGAACTGGAACTTGAAGAGTTGCAGTTGGCATTTTAAAGGAGAACAAGTAGAGCATAGAAATCATAAATACAAAAAACAAGAATAAAACCAAAAGAGAGCCATATTAATGTTCGAATCAAACTGTGCAGCAGTATCTTTTCTCGCCACGCACTTTACGAAATTTTTTGCATGAAATTCGGAAAAATCCTTTTTTCTCGTGCTGACACAAACTTTGTTGTAGTTGAAGTTCAGTCAATAAAACAACCTATCTTACTTTGAGAGTAAAAGCAGCACACGAACTTCTCTTATATTTGCTAAGTATTCTGCAGAAACCGGCTTTGAAAATCCAGATTTTGAAAAAATCAGTCGATTTTGACCAGTTTATTTACATTTTCCAGCCGACAACAGACTGGTCAATTCACAAAAAAGACAGTCGTTTTCAACTCTGAGCATCACTACAAACCAGATGCGTATTTTTTCCTTTGATAAAAACTCTTATTATCTGCAAAAAAAGAGAGAACGAATGGAGTTGGTGTTGAATTTGAGAAAAAAAGAGTTGTAGTTGAGCTAGAGTTGACCCTACCCACTCAGAATTTCCAATCTTCTTAGTGTAACGAGTTTTAAAGCTATAATGGAATAGTCGTTCGTAGAAAGTCTGCTGAAATCGTCAACAAGAAATTTGCTTTCTTGAATTTGTAGACGTAATACTGTTTAGAATTCTTCCCTTCCCTGCTTAGAAAGCTTAGCGCCAGTTCAGTTACTCTCACTAATTAGACGATGTTTCTCTATTCTCTGCCGGTGTTGATTTTATTTCTAAAACTTAAGATAAACAGCCAAGAGAAAAATCTTAGAGAGTATTGAATATGAAACC